CAGACAAAAGTACAGCACCTAACAGCCTTTTCCTACCGGAGCAGCTCTCACAGCCACAAAACACTGAAGATCCTTAAGACAAGGTCCTTGCTGTTAAAGCAGGTGACAGCAATGACACCGGGGGACACAGATTGCAAGGCTGGGTGACAAGCGGGCTGGGTGCAGGCTTCCCACCCCCTGCTTTGGAAGCGGGGTCTCTCCTTGAGCTGGTAAACTGCAAAGGTAAAGAGAGAAGTGAGCACCAAACATCATCCCTCAAGGAGCAGGCTGTTCCACCGCCCCCGTATCCTTCACTCGTTGAGGATGGATCCAAATGGCTAGGTGAGGAGCTGAAAAAAGAAAAAAAATAAATTAAAAATTAAACCTCTCCAAGCTTCTCCTTACTGGGTTTCATTACTAAAGAGAGAACAAAACAAAGAAACACATATGTAGCAAGATTCAAAACCTAAAATACTTTATTTTCTCCAAATAACATTTATTTTCCTTCCTTTAAAAAGTCGTTTAACACTCATTAAGACCAAATGAAAACACACAATAGCCATGTAAGCCAAGATCTACTTGGAAAAACATACACATTCTTCAAAATAATGTAAAGCCTCGTGGCTGTGCAATCCTGGGGGTTTCCACACACGCAGAAATGAACATACCTGCGCGCAAAAGAAAGGCAGCACGCAACCAGTGACTGGTTAATTCACAGATTTATGGCCTCCAAAATCTTTTTTTAGAAGGATTTTTAGCAAGGGAAGGCTAGCAAACCCCTAGCTGCAGGTTACGTGAGCCTCTCCTGGGCTGGTGGAAAAGTCTCCTGCGTTTAAACGTCTCCCTAAAGGTTTGGCTTGTTATAAGCACCTACAGCCCCCGGCTAATTCTTTTAGCGAATTTTCATTCGTAAGACTTGAAATCAGAGCCGGGCCCATAAGGAATCACAAGAGAGGGCTCGACAGCAATCCAAATTATTGCCCCAAGAGTAAGCAACAAACAGCCAGGGGCTGAGAACGCTTTCCTTGCGTAAAACAGCTCCTTTTCAGCTTTCTGTCAAGCGACCGAAGCGCACAAAGAACTGGAACCAAAGGACATCAGCGCAGCGTTCATGAGAAGAATGAGATGGGGTGAAAAAATAAATTAAATTACCAGGCTTTGGCAAGGAAATTTTAATCGCACTTTCCACTTGAAGCGCTAAAAGAGAGGCTGTTGCCCAACAGCAAAATTGAGAGGTTGTTGTTTAAAAATGAGAAATTAGCAGGCAAGTACCAATAAACAAACTCATTTCACACAGCCCAAAGTGGTCAGAAAGTTACACAGGATTTCCCCCTCCCAGTCCACTATTAAAAATTAATCGACTGTGAATTAAAGGGATATCAAAAGATAAGTTTTTAGGGGTGGTAGCAGGAGGCTCTGAGGCTTTAGCTTCCAGTCAACCCAGGATTTAACATTATTCTGCATCCTAAAGCACCCAGCTCAATGCCCAAAAAAATAAAGAATAAAATTAAAAAGTGCTTTTTCCTTTCCTCCTGTTTTCCACACAAGGCAGTATTAATCCCTTCCCATGAAGTCCCAAGTTGGTTTTGTAGCTGAGCACAACTGCGCTCCATATTGTCCTTTCACAACTAGTAATTTGATAGATCCAGCTTAAATGAGGATGAATAGACATCAATTAGTACCATTCTAATAGATTACCAGCTCTCATACAATAAATCTCATTTAGTTCTGTAGAAATTACATTGGAGAGTCAGCGGCAAGAACACCTACAGTCTGTGCACATCCCAACGAATCTAAATACCAACAAAATTAGTAAAAATAGAGAGTCTCTTAAGTTCAATAGGATTCAACTTTTTTAAAAAAAAAAGTAAAAAAATAAAAACCCAGCATTTTCATTTAGAGCACCTAATTAATTAAAAAAAAATCAGTATTTTCACTTAGAGCTTCATCCAAGCCTCATGCAACTGATTTCAAAACATTACGCTGGTTTAAATCAAAAGATCCAAAATATCGGTCCTTCCTCAGAAGCCTGCAACAGCAGGGCTGCAAAACTCAATTTACCTCAAGTTTGCACGAATCTCAATCGCTTCATCATCAACTTATTCGCTCCACCCCCTCTATTTTCCCCTGGGTGAAACCTGAACCTCCGTATTAGGAAAAACAATACCCAATTCATCTTCAAACAGGTTAAAAAAAAAATACAGGATAAAACAAAAAGCAGACAGGATATTGAGACACTTCCTCAGGTGTCACCCAAAAATTGACAGCCCAGATGAAGGCAGGAGTCACCAGACCCTTTCCATAAAGGTTAACACGTTCCTCCTGTGCGTCCTTACGTATTCCAAAAGTCACAACAGAAATTAAGTGTCACTCTTCTTCAAAATATTCGGTCTAAAGACAGCTAGGACGCTGCAGGATTCCTGCAATTCAAAGGACAAGCGTCACTCCTAACTTTGAAACTGCTGCCATTAAACCAGCAATAATAACAGTAAAAGGTCCCTCCAAGCCACGTCCCTTCTTTCTGAGCAGAAGGAGCAGCTGCTGTCAAAGCATAATAAAAAAAAGGCTTCAAATTAAACAAAAAAAAAAGCTTCAGAGCAAATTGGGCTTCAGAATCCATAAGATTTCCTTCGGTTTAGAGATCTGGGTTTCCACAGGAGAGCTTGCACACATTTTTTTTTAGGGGGGTACTTCCAACCAGGATTATATTACTCCACCAGCTCAGTTTAATGCACCTGGAAGTACACAGTCCTACCTCTCCCAAAGCTCTGTGACCATCTAAAGTGTCGTCTCCTAAAAATAAATGAAAAAAGGAGACTGACTATAGAGGAGACGACGGGACAGGAGGAATCTCAAGTAATTCTGCATAGTTTCAGATGTACAAAAGAGACCAAGGAAAGCTTAAAAAAAAATAAATGCATTTTCTCTCACGGTCTATCAGTCACATCAGGATTTTACCTTACGTACAAAATAGTAATTTAAAAATACCAGACTAGTATTAGTAAGAAAAGAAGTTATTTAAGTACCTACTAGATGAGATGCTTCTGCCTACTCATGCCTCCACGGCAGAATATCACAGTTTAAGCGCACCCATGCATTTGAAATCCCTCTTCTACGCCTGCCTTCAGACTTGTCTTCTCAAATGCTTCAAGCTCAGCAGGAGTTTCGAGAAGCATTCATCACCTCTGAAAAGTGGCAGAGACAAAGGGTTGTCTGATGGCCAACACCTTCATCCTGCTTTCCGTTTCAGATAAAGGTGACTTTTACCGATGGACTTTGATAATGTCTCACCACCCATTCTTCTACAATATTTCTTCCCCCCTTCTCTATTTGGGTTTTTTAATTCCTCAATGAAAGTCATCTGTGGTCCTGCTCAGACTCTTGAGTTTGCAGGTCAAAAAAAAAAAAAAAGTGATTTACAAGAGAAATTCTTTCTATATGTACCTCCCAATCTGTAGCCTCTTTCTTCCTGGTGCAGAAGCAGCATGATTCAGCTCACAGCAGAAAAAGGCAAGTTTAAATAAATTAAAACAGACAATGACCAGCCTCAGAAGCTTTTGTTTGGCTTCTATTTACATGCAAGTGTAAAAACCACGAGTTTTTTTTAGAAAAACGTTACAAATGAAGTGAGACCTGAGCCATCAGCTCATTCACCTATCAAGTCCTCAAACAAAAACCAAACTGTTAAATGCATTAAACTCTGCCCCACGTGGCAAGTAAGCTTATTATATGCACAGCACCTCCAGACAAAACACTTTTTCAGCAGTGCTTTTAATCCCTTGCCAGTAATCAATTACCCTTCAAGCTCCCCCATTATATAATTAGAAGTGCTTCCAGAAGGTGACTGGTAATTCATCAGGAGACTACATTTTCCTTCCTTCTAACTCCACTCCTTCGACCTTTTCCTCCACGTATCAACAGCAAAGCTATTTTCCCTTTAAATATCATTTCTCTCCCCGAGCAGCCTTTTTCCATGTAAACTACCAACTTAAAACTCAACGTTAATACACACAAGTGAGGCCTCAAAATTTAGCTCTCAAAGGAGCAATACAGAAAATAAAACTGGACTCCCTTAAACAGCCACTTACCAATTTTATCATTTTTATCCTTAAGGGGAACCAAGTGAAATCTTAATCGCACTTTCCCAAAGGAAGTTATCACATTTTTCTTGAGCTTAATGCTCCTGCAGTGGCATCCAAAGCATTTTTTGATACACGCATCTGCATGCGATCACGTTTTTTAGCCTCAAAAACATCTGCAGCTCCTCATTAACAGCTGCTGCCACAGACAGATGCCAAGTCTTCACTTACTCAGAAGTCCCACACTATTTTAAGGAGAGCCCATAGGCCACAAAAATCAGGTTCCAACAGCCCATTCATCAACGGCAAGAGAAAACCACGTGACAACCTGTCCAAAACCACACGGCCGGCTGCTCTTCGCGCAAACAAGGCGAAAACCAAAGAGCATCCTTCCCCAGACACCTCTGCTACTGCTTACAGGCAGTCCTTTTTGAGGCAGCTGCCTGCTCACAAGATGCTCATCCCTCAAATCTTACAAGAGGCTTGCACACTGCTCAGCGTTCTAGCCCAAACCACGCGTTTCGGCTTCCAAAAACCCCGGGGAGGAAGGCAGGTGGGTCACAAGGCTCACGTTTCGCCCTGCAGAAGAGGGCGAACGTCACACAACACGGTCCCCTCCAGCCTGAGCCAACATGTATAAGACACCACAACGCCTCTCGAGTTCTGACCCGCACGGCACACAACAAAATTTGCTCAGGGAGAGCTGTGACAGAGGAGGAAGCTTCCCCACTTCAATCTGTGTCCCTCCCAAGTACCCCATGCCCAAGATTTAGCCTCAAGTTTCTGTATGACAGTACAAGAGAGACTGTAAGCTCAAAATATCCAACGTTAATGTCACGCCAAGGTTTTACGGTAACATCACCCTCGCATTAGCGACGTTTTCAACACCTCCTAACCTGTGAAACAAGGTCTAGCAGCAGCTTGCTCAATTCTAGAATTATTCTAAAGTGAAACATCCCTAGTCATTTGCTGCTGCTTCGCTTGCACGATCAAGTGGAGCTGTCTCTTTGCAATGGCCGTGTTGAAATCCCACAAGAACTCCAACAGCTTGCCCTGGAGAAGAACCTCCATCGGCACAAACTGCAGAACCTGCTGGGGAGAGTCCGCATCCAGCAAAGATCTCACGAGTTTGTTCAGATGCTGGAGATACTCGACAACCGGATTCGGGAGGCCTCGGTAACCGACACAGAGCAAAGCGGCGCTGGTCCTCAGCGGTTCATGGGAGGTTGGACAAGCAAACGTGATGTATCTGAAACAGCAATGCAGAATAAACACCAGGCCAGCTGTGAAACGCGTAAAACACGAAAGAACGGGCAAAACCAAGGCGTCTCCCATTCTAAGCTCATTCAACGAACGCAGAACACACTCCAAAAGCTGCTGCTGGTACTTCGGTTCTCCATCGTAAAGCAAAGAGAAACTGAAAGTCGGCAGCGTGGCCAAATCCAGGAGTTTTATTTCCATATCGGGTTGGCTTTCGGTATCACAGGGGGATGGAAAATCCACCGCAAGGCACTTGAATTGGTCACCATGCCTTTCATTTAGGATTTCCTGACGACACCTGGAAAGATCAGACACTTCAGCCAGTATCAGCTCCCCAGGAAGAACTTCACAGGAGTCGCAAGTCTGCAGCACTTTGCTTTTCCACCTCCCCTCCGCCAACTCCTTCAGAGCTTCGTTAAGATTTTCCAAGACCTGACAATCACAAAAGGGAGAACATTTTACCTCTGGTAGCCTTTTTCCTTCCAAAATGTACCACAAGCTACACTCGAGGTTAGAAGTTGATCCTTCCAAGATGCACATTTTACCGGCATTATTTAAACTATGTTCTTCAGCCCAGTGACTGAAATAGCCCTTTGCCACTTTATCGTTCCATGAAAGGGTTTCCAGCATCTTCCTCTCATTGTACGTCTTAAAATATTTGTTTCTTTGCCCAAACCATTTCACGTTTGTGCTGCAGCCAGTCTGAGACTTCTTGACGAGCCAATTATTTTTGGCAATGGGTTTCACGTGGAGCCTTTGCATGAAGAACTGCACTGCACAATCTCTTAGCTTGTTCAGTTTCGTCTGCTCTGCTTCTTCCATGCACTCAAAGAGGTGAATGTTCTCAGAGATAGTCTCTACCTGGCGTTTGTGGAAGAACATGCAGCACTCTTCATGTATCTTAAGAAAAGATTCTGGTAGCATATGCTGGGGAAAGAGGGCCTTGTTGACCATTTCTGTTCCAAAGTTCTGTATCATCTTAGAAAGCAGCAGATGAATGCTCTCTCTGCCCAGATAACAAAGACAAACCACATAAGCTTCGGAGTTTCCAGCTTTGCTAGTGGCTGGCTTAAAGACATGGACCTCCTCGAAAGAGCAGTTCAGCAGAAAGAGCAGGTTGGTAGAACAGTGTTCAAACAGGGTGAACATCTTCAAAACAAAGGATCCTCCAGCGTCCAGGATCATTAAAGCAGTGACTGTTTCACAGTAAAGAAGGGGTGAGACAAGAGCCTCCTGCTCCCCTGGGTTTCCCTGGCAATCAAAGCTGCCATCAGCAGTTACCAAGTGAACTGTGGCCATGTTACTCACAAAGTTCTGAAGGCCAGTTAGATGCTTCAACATCATCACATCCCCGGTGTTATCTGGGCCGAAGTACCACCAAGGCAACGTATTTGCTATAAGACGGTCATCCATGATCATCATAAGGGTGTCATTTGCCTCGTGGTACGGGTTTAGAGTATTAGCTACCC